GTGTGTGTGTGTGTGTGTGTGTGTGTGTGTGTGTGTGTGTGTGTGTGCACGCCTACTTTATGTGTGTATTACTTCAAATGTGCCTTCCAAATTGTTCCTCTATCCGGTACAAAGGTGGCCACGTTGTGAGGAGGCGGATCCAAAGACGGTGTCAGTCTCAGGGATCGACAGGCGAACGGCACTGATGGTGCATGTGTGGTATTTGTGATGTCATAACAGTATATTGATCATATTCATTTCATCTAAACTTCGGTGTAATTACTTTTAAAGCAAGACAGTTGCTGGCATCCATCTAATACTAAAGGCGTGATAGTGGTATTAAGACCGGGTTTTCCAAAGAAGTAGTTTAGCTGTGCCTTATCAACTGGGTTTATATATATATAAATACTGTATATATATATATACATATACATATATAGAAGACATTAAGTTATTCCTCATTTGATCAACCATTTGATTTACTGTTTCAAAGTTATCTCAAAGCTAATTCTCCTCTGCAGTCCCAAACATGAGCATGCCCACGTCATTGTCATACACAGAAGAAAATAGCAAATGTTTAGTAGGATGAATAGAGAACTTATTAAGCTTGTGTTAATGCAAAAAAAATAAAAACTAGGAAGTTGAAATATACTACTATTTGAAATATATTAGGTCAAACGCATAAAGATTTTTATTTTACACTTTTTTTCACATTTTCGTCATTTAACTGATAATATTTTTTTTTTTCCTGGGAAACAGCCACCAGCAGAACAGATCACGAAAATGTAACAACTACTGCAGCTGTAGGATGGGTAACTACAGGATGGATAATAATACAAATACTTTGCTCTGCACAAGTGCTGAAAACTGGTCCGAATGGTGGAATAAATCACGGCCCTCGTGACAATGTTTTTGTCTCCTTGTGTCTGATCGTCTGTAGGGGGTGACACTGACCTCAGGCCATCCCCGCCTGCTGTTTTTTTTAGCAAAGGACTGGAAATGCAATGGCAGCTGCCTTTGGCTGCTTGTCCTCCAGTAGCCGAGTCCAACGTCTCCAGTTCATCAGAGACGAGTGGAGCAGGAGGAGCACAGGGGAACATCTGGAAAAAGGGGAATATTTCAGCTTTTAAGAAGTAAATGCAAAAAGCAGCAGGTACACAATGGACATTTTGGCTAGTATGAAATGCATCAGTGTTAGCAGACTTCTGGGTTTCGCTTTGATTTCTCTCCCAAAGAAATTCATTATTTGCTCATCTCTGCCAGACAGTTGCACGGTTGTCTTCAAAGGGATGAACTATAACTTTCTGTTTCTTTCTATTAGTCAAAGTTGGACTCTTTGCAAGGGACCATGCACCTCTGAAACCACTGCATGCACCTTAGAGGACTCCTTTTACACTTTGAAGCACACAAAACACACACCACAGTCTTCTTCCTGTTCTCAATATGAGAGAAACTGCAAACCGCTGCAGAAGAAGTTTGAAAACCGTGCAGCGACATTTTCAAATCTGTTTTTCAGCCCTCTGAGCAACAAGCCCCGTCTTCCTGTCATAGTCCTTCTGCTCTTTGTCAGACAGGTTTACGCTGCTGTTATCATCTCGTGTTGAACGCCACAGCTTCAAAAGTGATGTGGAAGTAGCTTTGGGCTTATTTTTCCCCTTTTCTATCAAGCGGCCGCGTGACCGTATCGCATATTTCTCCTGCTTTTAACTGCTTTAAGGATATTTCCTCCGTTTGGCATCATATGTGTCATTCCTTCTCTCTTTAGAAATGACAAGACTAACTGACCCTCTGTTTGACCCTGATGACACAGTCTTCTCCCTTCCATTTCCTCTGCTGCTAAAGTTAGCTGCTGTCTGAGCTCGTATCAATGTGAAGAGAACTCAGGAGGAAGTACTCGGCTCTGAATCCAGCAGCCTAATGGCGGCCTTCTGTTCACTCATCATGGCTCATATGGTACCCGTGATGTCACTTGTAATTTGATTAGCCTGTAGTGTTTATTCTGTGTTATATTTTTAAATAGAGGGTGTTGTGACTGTGAGGGTATTTTCCCTAGTCAGCGTCCTCTGTTTCTTGTTCCTTTTTTGATGATGCAGATATTAATTGGGAAGCCACTCTCAGGGTTTTTGATAAAGCCGAACAATGGGAACTTTTGTGAGGAAGTTCCCTGCACAAGCAGAATCACAGTTCAATGTTTTTAAGCCTCGAGGCTTCATTCATACCGTTGACATTTAAAATTCTAAATCAATATTTGAATGCTGCCGCTGCAGAATGAATAAAGGGGA